AAACCACCCTTTATTTATTACACCACCCTCACATACAAGTATACAGCACCTGTTTTTAAACCACCTTTTTATTTATTACACAACCCTCACATACAAGTATACAGCACCTGTTTTTAAACCACCTTTATTCATTACACCACCCTCACATCCAAGTATACAGCACCTGTTTTTAAAACCACACTTTATTTATTACACCCCACCTACAAGTATACAGCACCTTTTTAAACCACCCTTCATTTATTACACCACCCTCACATACAAGTATACAGCACCTGTTTTAAACCACCTTCATTTATTACAGCACCCTCACATACAAGTATACAGCACCTGTTTTTTTTTCATTTATTACACACCCCCATACAAGTACACACTTGTTTTTAAACCACTTTTTATTTATTACAGCACCACCTCACAAAACCACTTTATTTATTTCACATACAAGTATACAGCACCTGTTTTAAACCACCCTTTATTTATTACACCACCCTCACATACAAGTATACAGCACCTGTTTTTAAACCACTTTATTTATTTATTACAGCACCTGTTTCACATACTTTATTTATTACAGCACCCTGTTTTAATACCACCCTTTATTTATTACACCACCTCACATACAAGTATACAGCACCTTTTTTTGTTTTTATTAAACATACAAGTATACAGCACATTTTTTAAAACCACCTTTTATTTATTACACCACCCTCACATCCAAGTATATACAGCACCTTTTTTTAAACCACGCTTTATTTATTACACCACCCTCGCATCTAAGTATACAGCACCTGTTTTTAAACCACCCTTTATTTATTACACCACCCTCACATACAAGTATACAGCACCTGTTTTTAAACCACCCTTTATTTATTACACAACCCTCACATACAAGTATACAGCACCTGTTTTTAAACCACACTTTATTTATTACACCACCCTCACATACAAGTATACAGCACCTGTTTTTAAACCACACTTTATTTATTACACCCCCCTCACATACAAGTATACAGCACCTGTTTTTAAACCACCCTTTATTTATTACACCACCCTCACATACAAGTATACAGCACCTGTTTTTAAACCACCCTTTATTTATTACACCACCCTCACATACAAGTATACAGCACCTGTTTTTAAACCACACTTTATTTATTACACCACCCTCACATCCAAGTATACAGCACCTATTTTTAAACCACGCTTTATTTATTACACCACCCTCGCATCTAAGTATACAGCACCTGTTTTTAAACCACCCTTTATTTATTACACCACCCTCACATACAAGTATACAGCACCTGTTTTTAAACCACCCTTTATTTATTACACCACCCTCACATACAAGTATACAGCACCTGTTTTTAAACCACCCTTTATTCATTACACCACCCTCACATCCAAGTATACAGCACCTGTTTTTCCTAGTGGTCACCCATCTATGTACTTATCTGGCTAGACAGCTTATTCTAGTGTAAAATTTGTATTTTTCTGAAATTGTTATAATTGCTCTGCCGTGATCTTCAGCAAGGTGGATACTTCGACGTGGTGTAATAATGGTTTAATCATAATCAAGCTCGATCAATTAAAACTGAATAGTAATTCGACACTCACTGAGTGCTCCCTAATTGCGGACTTTTGTCACATCTGAGATACGTTTTGAATATCACTATAATTCATCGAGGTTTATATGAACATGCAAAATTTGCAGTCGCCATATTTACTACTATAGTTTTTCCAACCTTCCTACGGCGCTTATTTTCGGTGGATTTTTAGCAGATAAAGTTTAAATGAGTAAACTTCAACGCTTTATATTTCTAGTTGTTTTTGCTTCAATTCTCTAACCTGTCTCCTCTTCAGGCGAAACAACAGTATAAATTAACTCATATTTTTTCTGATCATTAGGGATACGTCTCCCAAGAAGCAGCACCTCATTACACTAAAAAGACAGGATCATTGTGCACGTCTTGACGGCTGCGGTAAAAGCCGGGTAATTGGGTTATTTCTGAACATGATTGCAAAAACGTGTGTGGCCGACAATAAACCTGCTTTTTGTCCTATTTGCATTCGTACATCGGCAAATAAACGCTGGTTTAGCGAGGGAACCCAGTGGAGACTGAAGATGTTTGAGTAGCAAGACTAGCTAGTTAGCAACTAATATTTCATTTCTTCTTCATGTTGATTTTCTTTCATTTCTTCCTTTTCATTCTTTCTTTTTTTCATTCCCGGCTCGATATCATTTTTACTTCTCTTTTTTCCCTTTTTATTTCCCCGTTTTTTTTTTTTTGACCATTGAACTTCTTTCAACAGCCGCTTTGCATCAGAACGTCACTTGCTCGATAGCGTCCCTATAAGTTCAATGAGGTCGGCGTGTGAGGCGAAATGGACTGGGATTGAAGACATATTGGACGACCGCGTACGGCAAAGATAAAGAAAATAAGTAGAAAAAATGTTAATGAAGAAGGGGTTCGACTTGAAATCAACGATAATATATATATATATATATATATATATATATATATATATATATATATATATATATATATATATATACGATGACCAGGCAAATGGAAACATGAAAAAGTTAAACTAGCAGGAGAAACTTTTGATAAAGCAAAGTTTGATAAAAGCTGATGGAGAGAGGACGCATTCGTAAATGTAATTAATGATGAAGACAATATGAATAGTGTGGTTTACCTCATGTCACTGTTGCTTACGTATTTCAGAGTGGCAGTAGGTTAAAAACCAGGATTTGTTTTCTTTTTAAGGCAGACAGTACCAACCCACTAGTGTCATTGCTGGAAAGCATTCTTCTCTTCGTGTATAATAAAGCAAAAGTTGTAGTTCGAGTCCAACTCCTTTTCTATTTCCTTAGTATAATTAGGCTACTTTATGGAGCATAAAGTGGCCACAGCCTCACCACGCTAAACTGGGCCGCTATTGTTCTAATCGCAAGTAGATTTTTTCAGGTTGGCGCTGCCAACCTCAATCCGTACAAGTGTTCGATTCAGCATTGCCCTTCTCATACACTGGTTGCCAACCAACGCAAGTCTGTTCTGATATTTAAACCATAGCTGGAGAAGAAAAGGTGGGTTCTTACCTTTCCCAGGACTATTTGTGCGAAAGTGAACTCAGCGCCTTCGGTTGGAATTTGAATTCAACAAAATGATTCCTTTTTTTCATGTCGATAACAACTATATTTTGTGCATGGCTAAAAAAAAGGGTCATTATTATGAAGGGCGATATGCAAACTTGGCTGGCAATTTTAACACAGGAGACGTCCAGTGCAAGAAGAGCAGAAAAATCTCCCAAACGAATTCATATAATCGGATGAAAGCACAGCGGATGTGAGAGATTCTAAGGAGAGATACTTTGTTTAGAACTTCAAAGGAAAAGACGCCGTGAAGAGTCATGAAACGATGCGGTGCATAAAAAAAATGTTTATCAGAGCAAAATATTTTTACCGGTAATATTCTTTATTTTTTCTTCTTTTGGACGAAGCAAAGAAGAGAAAATATATTAGGAGAGTCGGTACAAAATTAATGCCTACATTTTTTTAATTATTATTTTGCCCTACGATGTTTGGCCAGAGCCAGATGTTGGTGATGTGGCAGGAGATGTTCAATCTTCAATAACACATTTTGTTTCACTAGTTACAGATAGCAACTGAACAGAATGGAGTCTCACATAAAAATGAATCATTTGGGTCGATGCGTTACGCTTGAAATGAAAGAACTGTGTTCGATGGAAAATAGCAGAGTGTTAACATATATAATAAAAATAATTATATCGAAGTTCTTCATCGCTCGATGCCACTTCAATTATAAAGCGTGAAGCAATCATCAGGATTAAGTTATGACTGCCACGCGCATGAAACTTTAAGTGAAACGAGAGGTGAGGAACAATTATATAAATCTTTTACACGCACACACGCACACAAACCCACACACACAGACAAACATATATATATATATATATATATATATATATATATATATATATATATATATATATATATATATTAATTAGACAGGCTTTATCACTTTATTTTGGTTGATATACATTTTTGAGTAGACGCTCTGTTTATTTATTAAACAATATATTTACTTATTTTCTTCTACCGCCCTGAATATTCAAGATATTTTATTAAAAAAAAAGATGCAACCTATAAAAGGTTTCGAACAAGTGACCCTTTTTTCAGGAGAAACCGAATTATTTTTGATCGCATCATATCAAACATACAGAAATCCTAATGACAAACTGTAAATATTCACATCCTCAAACCACCTGACATCAATAATCAAGCAGATCCCACAGTCAATTAACCGCGTGCTTTCCGACAATTCTTCCAGTGAAACCATCTTCAACGAAGCCAAGAAAGACTATGAAACGGCCCTAAAAGATAGTGGAATCTTGGCAACACTCATATACACAGCACACAGCACAAAGAAAAGCCACCAGGAAAAGAAACATCAAATGGATCAACACACCGTACATCAAAAACGTAATAATAATCAACAATAAAATAATCAATAATAAATAAAAAATGTTAACAAACAACACCACAAATATCCCCCCAAAAAACTACACCACCCAAATATACAATTATTCCCACTCAATAACCCCTAGAATAATTTGAAACATAACCCTTACCGCCCAACAAAATAACTTTCATAATAATACAACAGACTTACACATATATATATATATATATATATATATATATATATATATATATATATATATATATATATATATATATATATATATATATATATATAGTCGAGCAAAAAATACAATACATAAGGCCTGAAGATTTTGTTAAATCATGAAAAAGTCTGTCATACAGTGTGGACATTAAAATCAACAGATTTTAATGTCCACACTTATACGCACTAAATCTGATATGGATCACTTTAACTCATAAATACATCAACACTATATTTTATCATATATATATATATATATATATATATATATATATATATATATATATATATATATTATATATATATATATAGAGAGAGAGAGAGAGAGACAGACAGACAGACAGACAGACAGACATACGAACAGACAAACGGACAGACAGAGAGGCAGACAGAGAAAGCAAGGTAAACGGGCCGAGATAGATAGATAGATAGATAGATAGATAGATAGATAGATAGATAGATGTAGACACTGTTTATAAATGTTGAAATGCTAGGAATCCTTTATTTATATGATAAACATATTCGAGTAATCCCTAAGCTTTATTGTGAACAAAAAACTTATATGCAGATATAGAACGACTTCAATAAATAAAGAAACAGAAAAACGAGATAAATGAAAAGGCTCTTTATCATGAAGTTGATTTCATCTATACAGGTCGATGTTATGTCACGTTACTCGACACCTTTTACGGGTACCATGGTTAGTTTATCAGCGTTTGAAATCACTTCTCTCACCAGCCTTTTCAGACGAGGAGTTTGGCTAAACACCCAGCATCATTGAAAAGACCACCTGTCGAAAGGCAAAGATTCTTGTAGGACCAACGGATATGTAAGCAATATGGTGTAAACTCGCCTATATAGGTATTTATGCAGCCAGTGCGGTGATGAAACAGCATTGCTGGGCGAAGAGCGATCTTAGTTGAAGTCAAAGGCCAGAGCGGAGCTTTCCCCCAGTTGAATCAACGGTCCGTGACTAAGGAGAACTTACAAGGTGGATGGCATTGTGCTACCGTTTGACCTGGATAGAGATAGTCTACAACAGGTCTACGTGCCCAAGTTACACTACACATAAATGCTTATCTCCCTGGCTTTCAAAACATTTCTGCGAAGGAGACTGGTCAGATGCTCACCTGTGCAGCGACCCTACGGCCACACACAGTCAAGAGACTGATAACAAAGAGATGTTATTATGACAACTAAAACACTGCACTTGGTAGGGTTCATGGTTCAATATTCTCCTAAATTTGTTGAAGTATTATATATCGTTTTACAGAATCATCGAAGTAAGTCAAAATATTAAGATTGCTGAATTTCTTGCTGAGTAGAAAAAAAAAATCAAATAAATTTCGTATAATGACATAAGGAATTTTAGAAAATAGCATGTTGTTTATGCAGAAGTTTTAAAGACTCTGTATGAATAGTATTCGCCTGGTATAATAATTTCACTCTTTTTTACGCATTAACACGACCTTGAACCAGACTAGAATATATTTATTAAGAAGAATTCCTTTATATCATTTTAAACGCATGCTTATATATACATAAAAGGTATCTGCTGATGAACAGATTTTAACAAGCGAATATTAAGAATGTGCGGGTGGCGTAACGTTTAATGGAGCAGCAATGGGTTCGTTGAGCCGAGTTCAAGATCAGACCGAAACACTCCAGTTGCGTTCACTTCCGCAAAAATGTTCGTTTAAAAGGTATGAATGCATTACTTCTTTCCCCAGATAAAATAAATATGTTCAAATAGCAGGGTAGACTGGAATCGCTATCCTTGTTAATCTACGAGAAGGGCTAATCTAAATATGAAAGGTAACGACAAGAATCCTCTTCATCGTCTTTCCAAAGAAGACATGGTAGTTCACAGATAATAAAAAAGGAATCCGTGGAAAACCATAAATACCTTGGTTCTGAATGCAGACAATTTCTAGTGTAACGGGTTCGATCGTACTTGTGCTCATTACTATTGTGAGTTTTAATATTTTACGGATTGTCTTCAGTTCTATTGTGAATGTGATAAATTCAGTCCTAGCATAGAACCTTTCTGTCTGTAGCCATTTTGTGCCAGGCAAATTTTAATAGGACTTTATCAGAAAGTAAAAAAAAAAGTAACATGAAAAGAAAGAATGTGATTGAAAAAAAGCATAAGGTAAAGATTCTGGCGCTCGACGACATCACCTGGTACCCACTGACAAACCGCCCACGTACTGCGCTGGTATCACTCCACCTTTGTATTCTATTTTACACGCCCTATTTGACCTCTGACATATTGGGATAGTATGGTAATGTTAAAAGTACCATCTGCTCAGTGAGAATGACCCGCGTGTCATTGAATTAAGACTACGTTTCCCGATTATGTATCAAGTCTCATCTGATAACCACGTCAATCAACTGAAAAATAATTATTACTGAAATTATTGTTTGATCTCATGTCGGTATCTGATTGATTTTTTTTAATCTCCAAAATTCTTGTTTTGCTCCCATTTTGAAAACACCTCTCACTTTCTTACTGACAATATATGTCGGCCCTTTCATTTATCTTTTGTTGATTTTAATTTTATCAAATGTTAACCTATCCGTCGGATGCTTTTACCGGCCCCTCTCTTTCATTTTCGATATTTTTCCTAATTCTTCATATCTATCTCCCATTTTCTTGGCATTTTTCATCATTTTTCATCATTTTTCCTTTCTTACATTTGTTAAATCATGAATTAAACTATTTTCATGAAATTCATAAATATAATTTTACGTGTTTAAAGTTAGAAAACTGAAAGCTACGACAAACGTTCCATGGGCGTATAACTTGGCAGACATGTTGTATATGTGCATATATATGGAACATCGAAATAATTTCAATCCGACCCCCATACCAAAACCAATAGACCAAATATTAGAATTAATTCCTTTGTGTACAGTATTTTATTTCGCTTTTCCTTGTGCACAAAAACATCAAGAAACACAAAAATATAACTGTTCACTTTGTTAGAAATAACACTGAATTTAGACAGAAGGTAATTAAACCATTTTATAATTAACAAATCATAAGAGACTTTAAAAATAAGTTATTTGCATTCAAATATCACTAAAAATATTTTCCTTTTGCAGCAAATCATCGCAAGCATTAGCAATGGATATTTTATTATTAGGTTAAAACATAAGTAATTTTTTTATTAGGTTAAGACATAAGTAATTTGTTTTTGCAAGAACAAGTTGAAACGAGGAAAGTAATGTTAAATAACCATTCTTTAAATATTCTTTAAAAGGTGATGAAAAATGATTTACACCCGGCAACGTACAATAAAAATGTTACTAGATTGACAAGTTTATTACAGCTGAACTCCAAAGAAAAAGAGGTAGCGTGCTGGCTAGCATCGGCTGGTGTTCGTTTATTTTTTTAAAAAACGCAGTGAAACGCTAAATGCATATTTATCTAACCAGCAGCTCACGTGTCCCAAAAGCTTTTGGTCGAAAAGCATACTGGCTTCCTCACTCGGTACTATATTTCGATATCCGTCAACGCAAGACCGCATACAGCATAACTTATTTTGAAAGTAAATTAACCTGTTCTAGCCGAACAGATATATCCACCTGACCTTGCATCAACCGATAATTAATCGCTGCAAAACGCTTTTAGATGGAAACTTTCTCTAATGAAAAACAGATTCATGACTTTGTCGAAAAGATCTTCACGGAAAAAAAAACCTGCGAAAGTTACTGAAACTGTAGAGAAGAGCGACCTCAAAAGTAATAAAAAAGTCATTGCAAATAATGTTGAATAGATAATTGAATAAAATGTATTTGTACTTTACTTTTGAAGAATAACGTTGATAAGCAAAAATAGTAATTATTTTCGGTTGGTTGATTTTGCTTCGTGGCATATCAACCTTGATGGAATATTTAATGCCGAAATCTAAACATTTTAAACACAATTTTATTTTATGTATTGTTGAACATTTTACTATCAAATTTATTATTGATCACTTTTTTGTATAAACGTTTATTGTATTTTTTTTAATATTTAGTGTCTTGTTTGGCAGTTCATTATTTGCCCATAGCTGTGATCCTAACATGTGCTACCACCTCGGGTCAGAGTAGAGCTGGGGACAGCAGCAATTAAAAGGTCATCAAAACCTTCAATCATTCGATCAGATGCTTTACTGCCGAATATATTTTATCGTCGTAGCCAGGACATAATTATTAATGACACCACCTAATATTAAAGAGAATATTTTGATGTTTTTCTTTTTTAATGACGATTTATATGAAATCTGCTAAAATGGTGCAAGGCATTTTGCCTGGAATTCTGGGACGAGGAGTTACAGTTTTTTACACGATTTACATTCGAACTATTGTCCTCATCTTTGTTGTTGTTATCACTAGATTTCGGCTGCTGTGGTCAGGTGTATATTGATATGGGTAACCTTCATGGTATTCGTCAAACTAAAATAAAATAGATAATAATTACGTTATAAAAAAATAAACTACAGTTCAACTAGGAACAAATTCTACTACTAACAATAACAATATTTACTCAATATCGTCTATTAGATATTAAATTGCAGCACTTAGCACCTACCATAGTTTACCTTGAATTTCACTTAACCAGATATATATTTATAAGCGTTTTAAAATTTAAAAATACTGAAAACTAAAAACATTTTTACTTCTGTTTATTAAAACTTGTTGCAAAATGAAATCTTTACTTTTGCATTCATTGGTAAAATGCAGCAAACGCGTCACCTAAAGTAAGTTTTACTTATTTATTTATTCATAATGAGGAAAGAAGGCTTAGAAAAGTTCATACATACAGTAAATACTGAAGCCAAGAGAGCGATGGAGAGAAAGCAATAGAACGATGTTATGTAAATGGAATGGGAAGGAGGGAGGGTAAAAAGGCGAATGTTGCTCGAAGCTATAAAGGATAGGAAGTTATGGAGAGCCATTATCGGCCACGGAGAAGGAGAAAGAATGGAAATCGACTGAAAACAAACTACATATGATTCCCTTTTAATGAACTATTAGAGAGTATGAAAAGTATTTTCATTTTGGCCAAATATGACTTCAATGATTATTGCATTTTACTTTACAATGGTGTTCAGTTTGTACAAGGCTCAAGAGCAACTCAAGCTAGAGGGTTACATAGTAAGAGGCCCCACCTCAAGCAAGCCGATAATGCCAGGAAGAGGCAAAGGGCTAAGGGAAATGAAAGAGTAGGAAAATACTTTAGAGAAGTTACTTCCACTTTTTCGCTAAATTGTGAGTTCAACCGCTGTGCTGGGCACTGTTTACTTGGAAACGGGCGAAAAATAATTAATACTAAAAAAATGATCTAGACGAAATATCCCTAGACATGGGCAGTGGAACAAGAAGAGTCTCCCCCACCGTAGATTAAATAAAGGGTTCAGTTCAAGATTACCCAGATCGATATAGACCTAATGAACGCCGGACGGTATAAGGGTCGAAATC